ATAGATAGATAGATAGATAGATAGATAGATAGATAGATAGATAGATATGTAAGCATGTGACTTTGCATTAGAAATTCTTCTCTTTTACTTTGAAAGCAGAGGGGGTTTAACTTTAACATAGTGTGTACTGCAGATGTACTGCAGTTGCTGCAGTGTTAACACAAAGTCAGCAGAAAAAGGTGCTTTTGGTCAGCATGCTCACTTCCACACTATTTCTAAATCCGAAATGCTGCAGAAATATATATGGATGCATACTGGATATTATCTTCCAGAAAATGGGGGTTATAATCTAATTATTACAGTCTCATTTGAACGCAAGCCTTGATTTGTAAACTGATCAGAATTTTTAAAAATTGCATCCATCATTTTAGTTTGTTAAACATTTTAAACTGCTGCATTAACCCAGAGACCCACTCACACAGTATGTAAAGATCAAGTCACAGGCCCGCTGATGAAGCAGTACTATAGATTAAAACAACTTGTCGAGTTTGATTACTACGTGTCATTTTCTCTTGACATGGCTCTGCTCTATACTGTATCTGTGTAACGGAATCTAATTTTTCTCAGTCATCTCTCAGAGCTCTCAGGCTAGTTTGCATAACGGCGTAACGCTGACTGAGTGAGTGCACTCGCTGAGCAGCATCTATCACGTTAAGCTGTTGAGTAATTCTAAAAAGTCTCTCATTTACAGAGTAATACAAGGGAATGCTGAAAATAGAGAAAACAAAACTAAATAATGACAAGAAACAAACTGGAGAGGGAAATTAAAGAGGTGAGTTAGATAATGGCTCAGGAGTACGCAGCAAGTGTACATAGACAAAAGGTAGGACAGGACAGATAAAGAGAGGAAGGGACCAAAAAAAGCAGACATAAAGTGGAAGAGCGATAGAGCAGGCCAAAAATGCTTGGCAAGCCCTTTCTATATTCAGACGAATGGACAATGTTATGATCACAGCAGTACACAGAGAGGTGTCCTGTCTGTTATTCAGCGGCTCTGTCTTCTTATCATCTCACACAAATGTTTTGTTCTTACTGTGATTTAAACAAAGTCAGAAGCAGATATGTTTTAGCATCACATACGAGTCATTTATGATTTCAAAAGCACAGCCGAATCACCTCACCACACCTTGCCCTTGTTAAAGGACACTGTCCCAACCTGTATTTCTATGAATCTCTCAGTGTCTCAATATTGTGAAACCGAGGCAAAAAAATGACTTCATTTAAAAAGAATCATTCTTTTTTTCAGTGAACAAATCATCATAACAGCAGACACATCGTTTTTTTCTGTTGCTGTATCTTTTTATAGGTTCTGTTACGGTAATGACTGAAGAGGTTCAAATAACTTTCTTATTACAATGTCTTACTAAAGACCTGAGCCTGATTTATCATTGCAAGAAGAGCATTGGGATTTTAAATCCACTCAGGCACCCTTAAAATGAGAGGTCACCTTCACAGATTGTCTTTGGGGTCCCCTTTGTTAAACAGTCTAGCTACATTTAATATGTAAAAGAAAAAAAAAAGCACACAAATGAAGACAACCTGCTAAATCATCTTGGTTTTCTGCTTTGGTTACCTCAATGTCAAATCTAACTAGAGCCATTTTTGTGGCCCATTTCCCTTTCTTATATCCAACACCAGGTTGGGCCTTACAGCCACAGGCTTGCCTTAATTCTTTCTACACCTGGTGAAGAATGAAAAACTCACCTTAATAGGTTTCCCATCAGGTGTCAACACTTCCTCAGAGAGTTCCATCATCTTCAGAGCCATGTGTGCAATTGGTTTTGCGTGGCTTTCAACCTTCTTGTGAAGTCCCCCAGCCACACAGTAGGCATCACCTATTGTCTCAATCTGTTTGTGAAATGAAAGGTGCAGGAATCAAAATTGATTAATCATTCTAAAATGAAGTATGCCTGTGATTATATGCAGATACATCAAATCAAGTGGGCTCTGAGTTGTAGAAAACTGAAAGCTACCCTTGACTCTTTCTTCCATGAGAGCTACAGTATCCTTCTTTTTCTTGTTCTTGAGTTTAATATTATACAATTTGAGCTGGTAAATGTTTCAGACACCTAATACATTGTGATAAAAACTGAAAATCCAAAAACCATAATAAACACACACACACTTTAAATCATAACACTAGTCATGTGACACACAATCCACAGCCCAAAACATTTTCACTACTTATTTCTTTGGTACCCCAAAGTTAAAAACGTATAAAACATTGTCCGGTAAATAAGACAATAGAAAATACTAATCATGAGCATCATGAGTACATTTACTGTTATTTGGGTGTTAGCAAGCTTTCATAAATCATTCATGTTCCAATAGAGATACTTAACTTGTTTTATGTTGCCAGGGATTAACCACTTTATGTCTGCTGGGAGGCAAAAATCATCATCTCTATAATGACTTGGATTAAAAGCACTCCACAGTAAAGGAACATCATGATGGTTTTTTTAAAGGCGTAGACAGTTCATGCTGTCTTAAAGCAATAAAACAATGTAAATCGTTATTGCTTGGTCATAATAGTAAGGGAGTTTCTACTGAGGAGTTAGGTGAGTAACAGCATGATAAACCAGCATGATGCATTTCACAGTCCCAGAATATGCCTAAATGAGTCTACAACAAGATCAAATCCCCTTTATTTAAGAATTCATTCATGTTAGATGTGTAGCCACAAATTAAGTAAAAAATAAATATTCAACTTATTTCATGAATGCATTTTCAAGATGTCAAGATATATGAAGATGAAGGAGTGAGCCTAGAGTTATTACTGACACAGTCTTTCTAAAAGAAAAAATAGCTTCGGAGGAGAAGGAAAAAACTGGGAAGACAAACTGGTCTCATTAACGCCTGCCACTGGCTACATAATTTCAACAGTAACCATGACAATGGCGACATATGGGTGATTCAATCCCCTCTTCGTGTCCTCCTGTCCCTGCTTTCTGTTTGCCACACAAACTAAATCCTCCACAGCTACATATAAACCCTCTTAAACGCAGTCCCTCTCTCCCCTCCTGCATCTTTCCCAACACATTTTCTATGTGACACTGCTGACTGATCGGACGTGAGAAACACATTTCATAAAGGAGAGTTGTGAGTAAAGACCAGAGTCAGGTAATGGGACAGAAAAGGGAGACTGGACAAGGAGTAAAAAAATGACAGAAAAAGCAGAATTTGGGGATGAATAGAGAAAAAAGACAGCTGTCCAGAGAGATGACTGTATCCAGGCTCAAAGCCACGTTGTCAGATGGACAATATTGACACATCTTTGTTAAGCTTTTACAGACTGGCCATTAATCAGTTTCTTTTTCCACAACAAAAGTGCACCCACATGGCTGCGCACGCGCACACACACACACACACACACACACACAAACAGATACCGTACACACAGACCCGCCCCAGGAAGGTTCAGCTTACCCAACTTTTCAAATTTTAAAGACTCTAAGAAGGAACATTATCATTTGGGGGGACATTTTGTGGAATATCCTCCCACTATGATGTAAAAAAAAAAAAGTTTTATTACTGGGTCTAAATGTACGAGGTGCATATGAGTCTCTGACCTTATAGACATCCAGAATGCCACACTGGTAGTCAAAGCGTGTGTAGAGTTCGTTCAGCATTGAGATGACCTGCATAGGCGTGCACTGGGCACACACGGCCGTGAAGCCCACGATGTCTGAGAACAGCATGGTGACATCATCAAATTTGCGAGCCGGCACCGGCTGACCCTGCCACAGTTTCTGAGCCACATCGCCCGGAAATATGGAGTACAGGAGGTCCACAGTTCTCCTTTTTTCCTCCTCAAGCGCCTGATGAGTCCGCTCCAATGTGGCCTGAGAAAAAAAAAAAACAGAGATTAATAGGCTTGTTGTTATGTGTGATTTACTTTGAGGAGGACACTGATGGCCGTAATCTGTGCTACAATAAAACTGCTGCTGGAAGCAAATGCATTTGCAACAAAAATGTATTTGCTTAGTTTGCGTCTTAGGAAAAAAACATCTTCAAGTCTTCTGAGTCTTATGCAGTATTACACAGCATGACTAAGATGTAACTATTCATATCACAGATCTGGAGGAGTTATTGTTGAGAACGCCGGATGCAATGACTGGGTCAAAACCTTGCAACTTACAAAGGGACTTATAGTATGTATGTGTGATGCGCTGGATTGATCGTGATTGCAAAACCTCTGAAAAAAAAAAAAAAAAGTCAGGTTGCACCCCAAAACCATGTTGGAAAAATTGCGTAAGAGCTCTTAAAAATAATATAGGGTAAAGATAAAGTGTGAGCAGAACAATAATTCAGTGATTTGACAGTCAGGCTGTCATTCAATTGGAATAATAATAATAATACCAGATGCTGAAAATCTGAAAAACGCATTTTCATATTCTAAAGGGCAGCCCCAGGAGTCAGTGTGTCTTGTGTCCTTGTGTCTTTGAGTGTCCTATTTGTTGTTGTGTTTGCCCTGTGGGTGTACCCCGCCTTTCCAATGACAGCTGGGACAGGATCCAGCTACAGCCTCCCCACTCCACCCCCACCTCTAAATTGGATTAAATGGGTATAGAAAATGGATGGGTAGATAAATGGATGGATGCTTTGAAAATTGGGACAGGGCAACAAAAGGCCGGACAAGTTGTGTAACAGAAAAAGAAAAAAAAAAAGAGCCGATGGAACAACTCACAACTAATTAGGCTAATTGCTAAATGATGTGTGAGCCCCACATTCTCCAATAGTCGCATTTGGAGAGTGTTGGTTGGGGCATGTGTGTGGTTGGTCAGGTTTAGCTGTCAGGAAATCCTGCAGACCTGAAATAAAATAAAATCACTTTCCCAGTATGATCCGTGTGTCATGACTCAAGCAGCTGCTTGTTTGTAAAATAGATTGTAAAATGGATTGCAGTTTGTGATCAGCTTAGTTTAAATCCACTCTTCCAGCAGATTAAATATATTACTGTCTCAGGGAAGCAAACAATTTCCCCATCTCCCTTTATTCAGAATGATAAAAATGAGCAGTTCTTCTGTCTGAAATCCGAAATGCATTTGCGACACATTTACCTTCAGCTTGTCCATTCTTTTCTTCAAGCCATCCTGGGCCTTGGCCTGCTCTCCCACTAAGATAACATCCCGTGTGGCGTCGTGGATGGGGATATCTGACAAATGGAGACCCCTGCCCATGAGCTCCTCCAGTTTATCGACACGTGGAGAGCCCAGAAACATCAGAGAGCTTGATTCTGGCACATGGATCATCTGACCCTTCAGCTCCATCACCTATGAAGGAAAAATGTTGAACAGATTTGTATTACTTTTGTTATAACACCCTGACCAAAAAGAAAGAAAAAAGTATATTTTCCATCTCTGTAAGACCTGCCCTGTCCTTCATATAGTTTTAGCCTCAAATGAATATGTTTTCGGTTTGACTTATGCTGATCCTTTTGAGCCTGAAATGAATAATGAGTCTGGAAATATTTGGATTTGTTCACTACATTTCACAAACAAAACAGTTTTAAGAACAAGATCCAGCACAATACTGGCAAAGCAGGGGCTCAATTTAAAGTGGAAGGCTGCTACATTATTAAAGGGACACAGATTGGAGCCACAAATGGTGAGTAAAACCCTTTAAAACTTCTGTGTTTTCTTGGAATTAGATTTACAAACGGATTTCCGTACAAACACCATGCTCACACTGTGAACACGCACCAAGCTGTTCTTTGTGTTCATAAATCAGGAAGTGTGCGTGTTTACGGAACTCAGACATCCTGCTGAAACCCGGATTCTGATGGTTGATCATGCTTCTCATTTTAAAAATCGTTTTCAATCAAATCCTGGTACGAATGGGTTGACCTGAATCATATCAGATCACATCAAATCATGTGAAACATATCAAGCCTTATTCTAAACATTTCCAGCACCCCTGCAGGTGTGTTTTTCCTACTTCCTTGTAAATGTCCTGGCCGTTAAGTAAAAAGTCCCCATATTTTGACAGACTTGGTACAGATACAAGCAAGCAACTGACCAAAGATTAAGAAGTTTTGGCTAAAATGCAAACACACTCTGGATTTCACAAGAAAGACCTCTTTCTAAATGTTATCCTTCCTTATCGAGAGCTTCCTCACATGGTTAATAGGATTTTTTTTTTTTAAACGTCATCAAAGCTGAACATGTAGCAGTAGAGTTTGGGCTTTAATTACCGTGTATAATACAAACCTGGTAGCTACACAGTTAGCTCTGACATCATTATAAAAGTTAACATTCTAACGAATAACATTCCATGTTAGAAGGCAGAACCAGAGCGAGGAAATCCACAAAACAACTGTGGTGTTATTGCCAACAGTATCTGGAATACATCCGAGGCTTTGGTTTACTTGGTGCTTGACATTTTTCTCACAAACACTGAGATGAAAAATATGTGCAGGACCTGCTAAATGTCCTTTGCACAGGTGTGAGAAATACACAAAAAACAAGGTTCCTCTTATTTCCAGCGCGCAAGTTTATACAAGAAATACGTTGAGGAAAGACATCGCCAGTTTTTGAAAAGCACACTAACCGTCAAACCTAGAGGTCAAATGGACCAGCCTCTCTTTTCTGTCTTCCCCTCAGTCTCACCCTTCCTTCTCTGTAGTTTCTCTTCCCCATCACCTGTTTCTGATGCTGCTAGTCGCTCTCTTTCGCTCCTTTCCTCCATAGTGTCAGATAGATTATTCCGCCAGTGAGCACACTGCAGCCCCGTTTTATTTATAGCGCAAGGCTCTCCTATGTCTGCATAATACATACAGTCTACATCCACATGCGCACAGTATTCCCCTGCACTCATCCGACGGGAGATACACTCACCCTCTCTGACTGTTTCTTACAAGTTCAGCAGGCATGCAGCAAATATGCACATATGCGACCTACTTCAAGACACACAATAGCTCAGCTTGTTGTGATTTTCTGAATAAGCACTGCTACTCTGCAGGCTTAATTTAGTGTTGGTGTCAGCTCAGTTATCCTACATTGGTGCACATGCATCATCATGCGTACATGCTCTGGATTTGATGCATATTAAAATCGCAGAGTCATATTAGAGTTTGACATTTCGTGTGAACACAGCTCTTCAGACTAGGCACATAAGAAACATATGTTAATGTGAGCAAATGGCTGCAGCTACCACAGGGTGTGTTTGGACATGTGGGAGGAGCTACACTCCTGGTACACTAATAACCTCTTAATTTAGCCAAATGCTAAATTAAAAACATGCTCTGCATCTGCGTGTACATTCTCCTGGTCTTTTAATGCTCTTTTGTTGGTCTTTTGTCTCCAATGTGAGCAAGAACTAACTAGGCAAGAAAGAAAAAGCTATATCAATTAGAATTAGCTGTGTCACAAACAAAGAAAAATCTAATGGGGTTGGGTGAACGCAGAATTGAACTATGGTAAAACAGCACACCTGAAACATTTGATGATGCCTATACAAGGGACATACAGCGTGGGTCACTGTTTTACTCTTCGCCTCATTTAGGCACCCCCTGAAGACAGTCTACACACATAATACGTGATATATTAATAGTCAGTGTATCATCTACAGAGAGAAAACCTACTTGTTAAGGTTCCGAAAATAGAATCAGCTAATTATCTAGAACATGGAAAAAAGATAGCATTTGAAACTTTGTTGTGAGTGGCAATTTTTTTCCTCTGTGTTCCTTCTCTCTTTGTGTGCACAAGGGCATGGGACAGAGCGTGACGTGCTCCCCGAGTCAAATTTGACAGTATCACCCCAGAGCCAACCCGTCAAATATGAGTTAAAACTTGCAAAAATGCAACATTGTCAACCCACCACAACATTATTTTTATCGAACCAGGAACCTTCTTGCACCATGAAGCAAGGTCAAAATATGATCATATTATATTTACACAGTATATTTATCATAAACCAATACATGTGTAATTCAGTGAAAAACAAAAGATACCTAAATATCATTGCACTGGAAAGTAACATTTTTGCAAAGTTTTCTATTTTCATGACAAAACGTTATTTTATTTTTTTCTGTACTTTACAAACATAGCCCGAGTCATTCTACTCAACATTATAAATCCACTAAATTAAAGTTAAGGTTCAGCCTAAGGCCCAGAGGCAGTCTGTTTGCTGTGCACAATGTAATCACAGCATGAGGACACAAGCCCTGCCAGTCGCCAGCAACTTCACCGAGCCTTCCTGCTGCAAAGGTACAACCTTCTTCAAGGACTGCTGGAAGACCGCTGTGAACGTTCACCACTGTTTACTGCTGTTTGGGGTTTTTTATCTCATCTTTTTTGTTCCTGTCATACAATACAGGCACCATTTTCTTTCTAACAACTGTTTTTGTTGCTATTTTATTCATGCACAGTGGGCATAATTATGCCAATGCCACCCCCACCCACCCCCCACCTTACTCTAAGTGTCGGCCTCTGTTTCGCTTTCATTCCCATTTTCCGGCTTACTATGTAACAAACGTACACAGTCATGGACGCACACGCACACACATCCCTGGAGGCAGTTGTGTTGGCCTAGTTGTATGTCTCTGTCTAACTCTGTACTCTCTGTCATCATGGCACCGAGAAAGACAAGGGAAATGAACTGGGGATGGAGGCCAAAAGGAACAGAATCGAGAAAAGATCTGTTAGGGGGAGCACACAAACTGAACATGAATGGGGTAAAGACTATGGAAATTACCGCCAAAATGGCTGTAAAAAAACAATGAACATATGATAAGACAGCAATCTATGAGAAGACTGTGGGCAAAGAGACAATACCAGAGATACCAAATTCTCTTAAAGAAAAACATGAAAACTCGTATATCTATAAGACAGAGAGGAGATCTGTTTGATGTGTACAAGTCCAGCCATCCATTGTGGTACTTCTCTATTCGGCATCTTTATTCAAGGCCCATGCATTATCAGTTTTATAAATGTAAGTCCTATGAATCTTCATAAGTAAGCAGTGTAGTATCTGAATCAAAAATATTTTATTGAAATTTTTATTTTATTGAAAAGATTAGAAGATGGTGGAAATATTAAGAACATTTTTCATTATTTTGTTCTAAAAAGTGCTCAAGTATACATAATCCTTTATGGACCTAATAACCACGTCAATAAGCTGTTTAAAACCATGAAATTAAAGTTTTGATCTAAAATATGTGATTTCACTAAATGGTATATAATAAAACCTGAAAGCCTAATCAGTTGGTTTCTTCAGTGAAAGCACACAGATTAAATGTTGTGAGAAGGAAAGTCTGGATGACAACGTTCCAACTTTCTTTCTAGTGTTTAGCAGGCCTGAAATTAAAAAGAGTGAATTTTACATGCATAGCGTGCATAACTTACTGTGGAGTTGGTTTTCTTTATTGATTACCACAATTTAAAGAATTATCAAAAATATAGAGACAACCTTGCAACAGTCAGAAAGCAGCTGCAGGGAGATTAAAATGAGAGGAGGGGTGGCAAAGAAGGGCCAGTGACGGAAGCATAAGAGCAAGAATGCAAAGAGACATGGGGACAGTGTGGTGCATTGTACTTATAAAATAAAAAGGATGGACATGAGAGTTGATAGATAGGGGAGAAGTATAGCAGGAGGTAAACAGACAGCTAATGGATTTTCTTTTGTTAGCAGACTTCCATGTCAATAGACTCTCATTTGCATGAACAGCCACTGAGCGGCATAGAGTCAATGAGTCAGCTCCCCCTCACCCCCCCAACAAACACACACACACACACACACACACACACCCACACACACACACACACACAAAATACTGCAATGTTCCGATCTTGACAGCCATTGTCACAATAAAACTTGAATTCAACCACAAACACGTGTGCTCACATACAATTTGTATACATACAAAAATGCAGCTGAATGAGACACCTTCCAGAGGAAATGGTCAGTGGTGGACTAAAAAGCCTTTTTAAGATGTTGTCATTTTGCAAATTAATCACAATTTGATTTCAATCTTTGTGAAATGCCTTAATGTGCAAAACAAGCAAACAGCACTGTGCTAATGTAAGTGGTTGCTTTGACTGCACATTTAAGTGGTGTTTCAGCATTGCACAATCTTTTACAGCAGAATAGGATGCTGGCATTTTTCTAAAAAGAAAATTTTAATCTCCATTAACTGTCTTTCAATATATGAATAGGGCACTTCATGCCTTTTAAACCCTTTCATGTAGACATAATTCAGTTTCTGCCCCATTAAATTACACATCTTTTTACACTACTTTTAGTTTCCATTGTACTTCTAATAACAATCTAATAAAAACAAGACATTGGTCTTGACTCAGCAAAATTTAAGTTATTATCTAAAATCCACATATTGTTTTAATAGTGCTTATCAGTAACACTCCAGCTACTATTTCTAACAAGTCAGCTACCACACTTTTATCTTGATTTCAACAGTCACAACACTGACACTGACATTAGACACTAACACAAGACTGACAATATTTGATTGTATGTTCATTAAATGTTTTCCTCTGTCCTTCCTCCTCTTATTTTAGTCCCCCAGGCTTTGTAAACACATCAAAAGTAGGCCGAGACAGCGATAGGAAGTCATTTTTAAAGCCCCCTATTCTGAACAGGCAAACAAAAAACCGTCACAGCAGTGATTTATCTGCCTCGGATCAAAGGTGGCATTAATGTGAACATTTTCTTTGTACTGAGGCATGCAGGTGCACAGATGATCCACAGGCAGACCGGCCGGATGCTGAATGTTGTCCAGTGGTGTTTGTCAAATGAGAGAGATTACACTCCAGACTCAAATCTTCACCAGGCTTCACAAGACTTTCCTGTCCTAAGATTCCATAATAAACTAGGCTGTTTAATTGCATTCATGACATGTAGAAGGCTAAATGTCGTGGAACAGAGCAGGATTTGGACTTTGGTGCAGATAACGTCTAACAACTGCTGGCCTAGGCTCCATTTATACATCCTAAGTCATCATAAGCAGAATTTTGACTCTTTGACCCAAAGAGTCTGGAAACCTTTACGTTTCAACAGCAGAGGAATCACCACAGCAGAGGCAGGTGCTGTGATTCATGGCTTCTGTCTTGTTCATGCGGGTATTTGCAAAAGAAAGAAAACCTCACCTAATGTAAGCAAAGAGATCGAGTGGGCGAGCAAGCCAAACTCTCAAAAGTGAAAGATGCTACCTTGTGTATTATGTCTGACAAGTTGCAGAGCACTAGTGTGGGGGAAAAAAAGCATGGTGGACTATCTGTTTGTGGGTTTGGAGGACAGCTTTTGACAGCACACTCCCCCTATGTGGTAACCACTGTGTTCACACTAAGAGGAACGACAGCGAGAAACGCAATTTGCCCTTTTCAGCAAGCCTTTGAATGTCTCCTGCACAGAAAATATCCCTTAGCATAGAACAGAACAAAGTCAATCTGAAAATGCAGCACAGGCCACTCAAACATACACCCAAAGCGTGGCACTAGGGTTTGCACCCTCTTTGCCTTGGCCTGTGGCCTCCTCTCTCTCTGCCTTTTCCAGTGAAAATGTCAGCCCTTCTTTTTTTCTGGCTCTCTCTTTTCATGCTTCTGTGAATTGTGTGCCCAGGTGACACACAATTCATAGTGAAAGGAGAAGGAAAAGATACGCCTGCCCTCTTGCTCAAACAGATACTTTTCAGCGGAGTTTGGAGTGCGGGGACAGTTTTAGGAGGCAGTGACGCACGCGGAATAGAACACAGACTCAACAAAGACGCAGTTCGGTGCTGAATGTAAATAAAACAGAATGCGAAATGGTTGTATGTCATTTTATGTTGTCTGAGTGACACGAATGTGGAAAAAATAAGAAGAAATACTACAAGTTCTGTGTCTAGTATTCCTAGAAATGGTTGTTTTTTTTCTGCCAACTGAGGAGTGACTTGGCTTGACTGCACTATAAAGTAAGATAGTAATGACTTTTATGTGTAGTCATTAAGTCATTTGGTCTGTTATTGTCATTAATTCATTTAATTTATCTTTTCAAGTCTCCACTCTGGCTGGCTTGGTCGTAATCTTTTCACGAAAAAAGGTCCAGTTTCAGACCCTTATTTCAAGAAAGAACCATGAAAAAAGAACTTAACTCAACATAACAGATGTCAAGTCAATGCAGCACTGGAGGAACATATTAGCATTTTTTCTGCTGTTTGATCTTTTACCATTACCTGCCCTGTTTGTGAACACTTCTTGATTTGGTGCATAGATCAGCACTAACAGTTCAGTTTTCAGACCCCATTAGCGATTCTGTTTATGAACTCTTTCAGGTGCTTTGATATTATCAGCTTGTGAGTATAAATTCGGCTTGAAAAACAGTGTGCACAGGTCCTGTTTGACATGTGTTATCGTACTTTCCTGCTTACTTCAGTTAACTGAAGTAGCTGTGTTAGACTCCCATTCACATCCTGGATGGTATGGGAAGAATATCAATGCACTGGTATCTGCCCAGTAAGAAAGTATGTGTTTGCTGCTGAAAAAATAAAGATACATTGAAAAATTAAGCTTCTAAGTTGAGCTCCAGACACAAACACACAGATATACAGCCCTGCACCATGGTTGGTCCAATTTATCTCCTCAGTGTCAGTTCTGTTTAGCATCAGGATGTCCAACGATGTCACTGACATCCTGCAGGGACCATCCAATCAATAAAGAGCAGGATATAGCGCACGCAACTCTGAGTGATTAATTATTTCTCTGCCAAATTGGAAACAATTCAAACCGTAGTCTTCGTGTGTATAAAACATCCCAGGTTTGCAGATGTTGCTGGAATGGTATTTGGCATGCACACTTTTACACTTATTTTACCTTCATTTCCACTTTGCCTGAAAGCATTAATTGATTTAAGCATTAAACATGTATTTGGCTCACTGCAGCCCTGCTATCACCCCTTCCAGTAGTAGAAGTGCAGGAAAAAATTTATACATCTAGATATACTAAATACAGACTGAAGCTGGCCTTGACAGAGAACACAGTGTATCCAAAGGGCACATTTATAACAAACTGTAAACTGTGTCAAACTGTGTTCTTCTGGCACTCGTTTGCTTGAAAAGAAACAGTAGAAACTCAAATGATAACGACAGAGTACATAAACGACAATTTTTACATTTGTCCATGGTACAGAAAGTTCCATTCTTGACCATGAGCATGCCTAACTATGTCCTACGTTTGAGACATTTCAGGCATCAGTTCGGTGTAAAGGTAGAGAAATCTTTTAGCCACAGATGATTCTTTGTGTTTCGGTCAGTTCCTAATGGTCAGAGAAATTCATGATGTAAAACCTCAAATATGATCTGTTTATGAAATAGAAAATTTGTGTCTGTGGTGAATTTGTTTGATTTCTTTTGTTGATTTGTGAATTACACGATCATACCAGCAGTTTTATCGTGTATAGAAACTTGATTATATTTAATCGAACTATTACTCTAATTTGGTTAGTCTGAAAATACCATATTTTATGAGTCAGGGGGAAAAATCAGCCATGATTAAAAGGATTTTGAATAATTGACTGGTTTTAGACTTGCTAGATCTGATGCTGTACATTTATTGTCTTATTTTTGTTTGATTTTAAGATATTGCAGATCATAGACTGAATCAATATGTGTGTTCCATAGGCAATGTCATAAGAGGGCTATGACGCTATGATTAAATGCTGCTTGCAATTTTTGAGTTGATATGTCACAAGGACAAAAAATAAGACTATTTGCAACGAATGCCAATAGTCACTTGGACAACAGTGACCACAGCAGCAATTGATTAAGCTCTAACTAGTACAGTGAGGAGGGACAGCCTTACCTTCTCCTTGGTGCCAGTCTGCGTGGTGTCAGGCCTGGTGCGGATGGTGAACGGGGACGCAAGCCTCAGCAGAATGCCCTGGAACGAAGGCTCCATCTTGGGTGAGACAATCTCAAAACAGTCTCTGAATGAGAGGCTCCTATGGGGTTCAATGCGAGTCTGTTTCCGCAGTCCTTCTCCGAGCTGCAGCAGCTCCATACGAGATCCCAGGACGAGGTGAAACGGAAAGGCACGGCAGAACGTGGCCAGGCTGATGCAAAGATCACTGGGGTTGGTGGAGAGTGAGAGGGGGGGCCTTTTAGTGCTCACTGAGTCTGAATTTGGCTGAAAAGAGAGGGGGGGTGGGCACGTCTCCTGGATTTGGAAGGAAATGCAAACGGTGGGCACAGAGGTGGGAAAAGGAGAGGGAGGACAGGGGGATGAGGAGGGCAAAGCAGTGGGGGATGCAGTGGGCATCGTGGAGTCACAGTCTTTATGCTCCGCATCTTCATGCGGACACAAGGGAGTCAGAGGTGGCACCTCTTCTACCTCAACTTCTGAGTGAAAGATCCGCCTGGCAACAGCTCTGATCAAACCCGGCATGACCAATCCCACCACAGGGGCAGGGTTGAAACAGTGAAGAAGCAGCGCCTTCCCTCCGCCGTATCTTTCGCTTCCGATCGGGTCCACTTTCCTTCTCCCTTTCTCCTGCTCGTGGGGATCCTTGCACTGGAAGGAGGGGCTCTCGGAGGAGGCGCGGCGCCCCGTGGAGGTGCGAATGTGTTCTAAAATGGCATCAAAACCATTGAAGAAATCCTGAAGGTTGCCGCCCACAGCCCGAAGTACGCGCTCGTTTTCCTCAAAGCACAGGCCAAAGAACTCTTCTCCGAAATGCTCTCGCAGCTCACAGAATGGTACTCCTGTCACAGAGGCAAAGCAGAACATCAAAACACACACAAAAGGTCCACCGCATAGACACTGCTGCACAAATATATACAGTAACTGCCACAATAAAGTATATCAATTCCAATAATAAAACTCAATTTGTCATTTTGTACTATAGTACTATATAAGGCACTCAGCAGCTTTCCTGGTTCTTTTAATTTTTTGTTTTCAATGAGGAAGAATGCACATCAAACATTAGGCCCCAGGTGTTTTCCTGTCACATTCTATATCATAGCTCCTGTTTCTGCCATTCCATGGCATGGCCAAGGTTTAAATTTATCAAAAATTATTCTGAGCAAATCAACCACAGAAAATGAAAAATTCAGAGTAATCAAACATCAAAGACTTGCCCAAATAATTAATATTGATAGGATAAATTAGTCATGTCATAAGCCTACTGACTAAATAACGAGAAAAGAAAAAAAAAACAGGATTAAAGGATTAAGCAAACATTTGGATTTACATTTAATTTAGATATAACTAAAATAAATAGATAAATAAATAAACAAAACAAGCACAAAGAGTCCTGAATATTGAGGAGGTCTTAAAGAACATCTACTGTACCTTTCCCTGTGCTTGTGGTCCTGTCATTTCTAACTGGGACAAGATCCCAGGGCAGACATCTTTCATGCTGCAGAGACTTTATGTCCCATTCAAGGAGGAAACAGCTCTGGTATTCCAAAGGAGTCCTTGAAGATATTCAGCCTATTTGCCTCCACCATGATAATATTTAATTGAGAGGTGTAAAGGTATGATGGCACACCAGGAAAACTCTGCTTCACTTACACAGAGATTTAAAGTTGGTCCAAAATTTCTAATGTACTGCTGTCTTTCTGAATGATTTAACATATAACTACAATCAAGTATTGTCAAAGCTTAATCATTTCTGTCATTGTGAACTCACTGCAAAATAACAGATCATTCTTTAAATCTAAGGTTAAAAGTTTTTTTTTTTTAATGAAATGAATCAGCACTGGTTTAGCATGAGATTCCAGAGAACTAAAGCATCCTTAAAGAACTCATCATCATATTCTTTTTTTTAATCAAAACACAGCTAGAAGGCGATTGCTGAAGTCGAATAAAAAAATCATGCAAAATTTCTGTGAGTCTGTTTTATTGAGTAACTGGGACAGTTTGAAACCAACGGCTGAGGCAGGGCTTGAGCTATAAGGATGAAAGACGGAATAGAAAGCAGAAAAATCCTATTGTTGAAGAATTTCCCTGCTGTTTGTGGTGTGAAAGTTTCTCAGTCTGTGCTTCAATCAAAATTTAATAATCACTGCAAAGTGCAAAAGGATGTGATCCCATGCACAAAACCACATCAGCTGGAGCTTGGCCCAGATGTTGTCTCTTTGATTTTTTTTTAGCAGCCAATTCAGTGTCTGGATTTAAACCCCAATAAACATTTCAGGCCAATTAGAGGAGAAGAGCACTGAAGAGCTGGCTAGCTTTTTGACATGAAAGTTAAAATATTAGTCCAGTGAAGTTGAAAGGCACTATACTACATTCTGTTCATGTATTATCATTTGTGTGTGTGGAATTTTTCTCTAGAGGGGATAGAATCTGCTTTAGCTGTTCTGGTAAGCTCTACATTGTGCGCACAGAAGGGGTGAGTCTGAACTACAGACTGTAGGAACAAAGTACGAGTCTAGAAGGATATGAGATACAGAGGCAGGAGGAAACCCTTAATGTTACAGAATGTGGACAAAGCTGTACAGAATGACTCACCAGGACAATGCGTGTGCAATTTTTCTCTCACGTCAAACCTCAGAGACATTAGAAACCACTGAAGTGAGTCATAAAGTGTGTGCGAGGATGTGTATGCCTGTGTTAACAGCTGTGTAGTTTTGCACCTGGGTCATGATACTGTATTTCCCTTTTTCATTTAGTGTCCACAACGTTATAAAAGCCACATTTCATTGGACTCTCTGTTCATGAATACGCACATAAACCTTCCAAAAACTGAAATACAGGCAGAGGGGGGGGGGGATGAGTATGTGATATCCACTGTCGGCAGTTGTTGCCTTGTTTGAGAAGGTTGGATAATGAATGTTATCAAAATAAGATGCAACACAAAATGCTGAGAAAAGGTAAAACATGGGTATTTTGTAATTGTTAGTACATGACCTTGGGAAACAGAGTTGAAATGTACCAATTTAAAGTATGGGTCAATAATTGGCCTGAGATGCCAGTTCAAACCTCGAATGGAGGATTCCATTATATTTCAGTGTCCTGTGAAACACAGCTCATTGCTGTGAAACTCAGTGTTCAAAAATGTTTTTGCACATCATCATGGCAAGGTTTTGTTTTTTCAAATGGCCTCCTGTTTTTCTGCTCACTCAAGCCCATGTGAGCCTTACTCCTCACAAAAGAATACCAGAAAATCAAACAAAATCATCTCCATCCATGCCCTGCCTTCCTAAATGAATGCCACAAAGTGGCATCAGAGCTGTTGCTTTAACTCACCCACTTACCCAATATTGTCGCCATGTACTGAAGGATTTGTAGGACATCTTCCTCTGAGCCAGAACTTTCAAGGAAGGGGCACTTCTCATCTTTCTTCTCTCTGCGACTTTCCCCACGTCCAATATCTTGACACCTGAGGAAACCCAAACAAAATAAACTCACATTCATGATCATATCTGATCTAAGTAATAAGAAAGGAACTAAGAGAGTATAGTGAAGACGATAAAAAATATATGCAGGAAATTATCCATGCATTTAGGTAATGATAGATGTCAACAACATCTATCTATCTATCTATCTATCTATCTATCTATCTATCTATCTATC